CCTCAAAGGGGCTATACAACTCTTTACATACAGTAGGGTTATCCGTTGAGTAGTAGAGAAAATAAAATGATACCTCATCTATCTGGCATATTTGAAGAGTCATTAAAAGCAAAAATTAAAAAAAAAAAGAGAGAGAGAGGAGTCAGAGACAGAGACAGAGGTAGAGAGAGACAAAGACAGATACAGAAAGAGGAGGCCTGAGAAGAGTCTTCCTACCATGCGAGTTTTCTATACTGGAGGCTGAATTATCAGTGGGACCTCTTCATTCCTCCGTTTACCCCAAAATGGCTAGATCGCAGGAGCCATGGAGCTGGTTCTTGAAGAAGGGCTGTTCTGTTCCCTTCTGTCTCTCCTCCCTTTTCTAATTCTTCAGCTGTCTTCAAGATAAAGGTTAAACTACTTAGCAGAAATATGAAGCTCATTACATGCTGCCACTGACCTTATTTCCTAGTTTAAATACGATTTTGCTCAATCTGGTGAAACATTTCTTGTTCAAATCCTATTCCCCTCAACCCAACTTGTCCATCATGAAACCTCCACATTATTTACTTTTCTGTTCTTGGTATGTGAAATGTTTTCCCACACTCTCTCTTTCACAGCTTGGAAAATTATTACTAATTGTTAAAACATAATCAACAGTTATTTCTGTGTGTGTGTGTGTGGTCTTTGAAGACACCTTTATTCATATATTCCTGTGGTTCTCAACCCTGGATATTTACTTTAATCACTTGTGGGGTATTTATTTATTTATTTAAAGTTTATTTATTTATTTCATGAGAAAGAGAGAGCAAGAGAGAGACAGCACCCCCAGAGGGTCCTGACACTGACTGCAATCCACCTCTAGCCTTCAGTATGCCCAGGATTATGGGCAAATACGTGCCCAGTATACTCAGAGATCTCTATAGGAATCTTCTGAACTATGAATCTTCTCCTGTGGATTGCTATAGAATGTCTTACTTTGCCACTGCGCCACTGTTTTGCTATCTTGTCCCCCCCGCCCCAGGGGGAGGGCTTTTAAAAAATTTCTATGCATAGCTTCCACTCACAGAATTTCTGATTTTCATCATCCAGAATGATTCTGAGCATAGCTATATTTAAAAAATGTCCCCAGAATATTCTGATGTTTTAGGTACTAAATGCATACAAATTGAAAAGACAGTATGTAATCTCTAACTTCAAGAAGTTCATTTAGGTAAAAACATAAATAAGCTGTCATTTCTAACAAAACAGAGTACATGGAATAAAAAATATTTAGGTAGAAAAAACAAAGAGGGTGGAAAGAAAGGGTATGCCAGGAAAGGCCCCTTGTGGCGCCTACTAGAAAACAACCAAATATTGAGTAATTTTTAAATTGCTTTGGGATCCTATTATAAGCAGTAGTGAAAGGAGCTAATCTGTAATTGAATCACTGTAAACAATATAACAAAGGAGCTGTTCAAATTACTTGACATTTTATCTTTATCAGAACATTACCTTGCACATACAAAATGTTCAAAAACACTTGCTGAATAAATGAATGGTCAAAGTAGTATTTAAAGTTACTTTCCTTAAGAAACGTATTTCTATGTCACTCACAAAACTAAACTCAAAGATCACAGACTTAAACGTAGAACCAAAAATGATAAAAATTTCTAGGAGAAAATACAGGTTAAGAACCTTGACATTGGGGCCAGCAGATGGCATAGTGGTTACATAGCTGGACTCCCACATGGCCAACTGCAGTTATAGTCCTGGACCCAGTGGCTTGAAACTCAGGCTGGGCACATACATGTGTGTGAGTACCCCAAATATCAGGGGGAAAATGGAGGAGAAGGGTTTGCAGCATGGTCATCCCCCCGGGGGAGTAATTTCTCAATTTCCCTCCCACTATCTCTTTCTCTCTTTGTCTCTGGTAAGCACATGTGCCCTAAGACAAAAACCTCTGGAAACAAAAAAACCTTGCCATTGGCTTAGACAAAGAATTTTTTTTTTGTATGTGACAACAAAAGTACAAGTTACTAAAGCAAAAATGAGTAAGTGAAACTACATCAAACTAAAAGGGTTCTACTCTGCTAAGGAAATAATTAATATGAAAATGCAACCAACAGAATGAGAGAAAATATTTGCAAATCATTGATGTTATAAGGAGTTGTGAAAAACAACAGTCCAGAAGAGTCTGTGGAATACAAGGTCCATTTAAATCTTAAAAGACCTCATTAAAGTATGAGATTGAGACTTCGGTTACACCTCATAGTTATAATTTATTGCCCCCAAAACACGTGTGTAAGTTTACGGCAAACAAGCTGTGATGCTGCTGAGAGATTACAGATTTTACAATGTGACACCAACCCTTCCTTTTCAGTATTCTTGAGTTCCTTATGTAAAGAACAGGTTGTAAGGCAGGTACCACAGTGTAGGGGTTAAGCCTTGTGTGTGGGGAACCAGATTCTCCATGACAAACAGTGGTTTGAACCCTGGCTCCAGTGGCTTGAAAAACACATTGTGCATGAAGGTGAGTGCTCCCCAAATCCTGATGAGATGCAGAAATGGAGGAAAAAAGATTGAAGCGTAAACATGCCCCATTGAGGAGTGCTTTCTCTTTCTCTCTGGCAAGCACATGTACTCTCTGGTAAATAAAACAAAAACAAGAATGAGGTACAGCCAACCAGTAACCTACATTAGTTTAAAGGAACCAGTGTAAACTTTGTTTTTAAGTTGTCACCAGGTGAGAGAGAGAGAGAGAGAAAGTGCCCCTCCAGTGGGGTGTGGTTGCACAACAATTCCTTCTCCTCCATCTCCCTATCCTGTTAGGATGTGCAGTCATGCACATGCATTTGGTATGTTTTTCAAACCTCCAGGGCCAAATTTAAAACTGTAGTCACCCATGTGCTATCTAGCTCCCTTAATCACTAGGCTATGGAGCCAGCCCCCAGTGTAAACTCATAATGAACAACTTGTAACCTCCCCTTCTCTGCCTGTTCTATTCACTGTATAAACCAGCTTTCTTAGTCACCATTTCAATGAACACATGTCTGGGAAGCTAGAAATTTGCTCATATGGGCAATTTAACCTAATATCTGACTCAAGACCACATTTATTTCACTTATTATGCCTCTGCCTCTTTTTTTTTTTTCAGTTTGACAGGATTAATTTATAAAATATATAGGAACTTAAACAACTTAATAGCAAAAACCTGATTTAAAAGTGGTAAAACAAACTCTAATAGACATTTTTCCAAAAAAGACATACAAACAATCAGTGAATATATGAAAAGGTGTTTATGATCATTAATCATCAGGGAAATGCAAACCAAAATCAGAATGAGATATCACAGCACATCTGTTAGAATGCTTATTGTCAAAAAGACAATGGGGTCCTCAGGTGACATGGTGGTTAAGGTGTTAGACTCTCACATGGCCAATCATGGTTTAAGTCCCAGACCTAGTAGCTTGCTTTCTCACTCTCTCTCTCTCTCTCTCTCTGCCTCACTGGTGAGTGCATGTGCCCTATGGAAACTTTAAAAAATAATAATCAATAAAATTAAATAATTTTTTTTTAAAAAGATAATAGATAAGTGTTGACAAGAATGCAGAGAAAAGGGTTCTTTTACACCGTTGGTGGGATACAAACTACAACTGTTGGGAGCTCATAAAACAGCACCCCAAAATATGATGCTTTAGCACACTGAGTACTTTTGAATGAAAAGAAATTGGAAGGCCTTAGAAATTGCCAGGAGATATTATCTGTATAATAAGACAAGCTTTGTCCACAGTGAAGATCTGCTTCTTATTTTTCTATAACTTCTCATCACCTCCTTCAGAGCCCAGAGGAACCTTGTCCCAGACTATTGTACATCCCCCACTTTCTGCAACCTTATTAAGAGGATACTCAAGCTTCAACTGTCTGGCCCTCCCTTAAGTATTATGTTTTGTGCATGACTCCTGCTCTGTGATTTTTTCCCCACTGTGCACATTAATAAATGTGTTTGCCCTTTTCCTCTATTAATCTGTCTATTGCAAGTTTATTTCAGCCATCTGTAGAGAGCTGAGGGGAAATTTGTCTTCACTTCTACATAAAGATTAAAAATAGGACTACTGTAAGACCCAGCAGTCCCTCTTCTGGGTATATAACCAAAAAAAAAAAATGAAATTAGCACTATGTAAATAACCTGCAATTCCATGTTCATCCAGTCTAAGTGTCCATTGGTGGATGAACAGATAAAGAAGTTGTGGCATATATACTATGGAATATTACTCAACCTATAGAAAGAAGCAAATTCTGCCATTCGTGATGACATAGATGAACCTTGAAGGTATTATGCTAAATAAGTTAGAGAGAGACAAATAGTGTATGATCTCACTTATATATGAACTTTAAAATAGTTCAACACATAGAAACAGAGAGTAGAATAGTGGTTACTAAAGGCAGGGTAAAAGGGGAGCTGTTGGTCAAAGGGTACAAACTTTTACTTATAAAATAAATCATTTCAAGGGATACAGCATGGTGAGTATAGTTAATACTGAATTGTATACTTAGAATTTGTTTAAATGTTTCCCCAGCAAAACAAAACAAACTAGACGATAACTAGACAATATAACACATGTGTTAACTAACTGGGTTGTGATAATCACTTCACAAAATCTATGTATATCAAAGCATTACCCCATATGCCCTAATATCATATAATTTGGTTGATTCTATGGTAATAAAGCTGAAAATGAAAATATCACATATATAATTAATATACAAGGCTGTACATTAAAACTAAGCATCCTATTTTCAGTGTCAGAAGTTTGACAAAGCATGTACATGTATTCTACCTCTATGAGGCAAGTATTTTTAAATTAAGCTGAGAAGAAAAAAGTACTGACAAAGCAGTTCACTTTCAGTAATCTGGGTTTTCCCAAATAGCGGTATGAAAACCAGTCATTTCGAATTGGACAGTTCAAGTTCCTCTTCAAGAATGAAATGTAGGTCAGGGCTCTGCTGACATTTCCATTTACCTCATAGCTGAGCATCTGCCGTGATCCTCGACAGGCAGGCAGTGGGGAAAGAAAGTACGACACAGCCAACAAGGTGGCAGCCCTGGCTCTGAAGTAGAATTATGTGGTTCAAGCAGATTGAAAGGTAAAGAGACAATGATCATCCATGTACTTAAGGACATCTATATTTCCTTTTAAAAATAACCAGGCTAAGTTGTTTTTTTTGTATAAGTTCTCATAATATTTCATACAGTGCTTACTGATAAAAACTGGATCTGTAATATTCTTTGACTCACAGCACTTTAAATAATTCTTGCATATGCTCTTTTAGGTGAGTAGTTAATATCTAATGAAGAACATTTTAGAGCTTGTGTTACTTTATCTTATAAAGAGAATACCTACTACTGCTATTGCCAACAAATTATGAAAGGGATCCCTATAATTCCTGAACTATGGGGGTCCAGGTTTTAAAAATGTTATAGATAGTTTATGCTTTTTGATGAATCATGAGTTGTGTTTTGTTGTTGTCTTATATAAAAAGTTTAGCTTCCATTAAACAGATTTTTTAAAAGCTGAAATAATGTTGGTTATCAAATAACTGAATTATTTAATTATTTAAGTAACTGATTGAATACATAAATCCAGCTATAAACTGTCAGTATTGTTAGAAATTTCCATAAAATATTTCTTTTGAGCCTTCTACAAATGAAAAAGCTTTCTGTAAGTTTAACTGGCGATAGTACGTATTTGCCATACTTCATTTTTCTTCATTTTGAATCTTTTTCCTCTGGGAGTTTTAAATTTTTGGCTTTTCCAAGCTGTGCTCACCAAAGATTTCCAGAGCACAATAGTATAAAACTCTAGTTACAAGAAGAATTCGTTATCTGCAGTCAGAGTGTAAAAAGATCTCTGATTAAAGAGACTAAATGAGGAATCCATTATAACAAGGGTCAAATGTTCTACTAAGGTCATTCATAGAGATTTTTTGCAGGGTATAAAATTCCATTCTTTTGCATTACTTCTCCACATTCTCATATGACAGTATCATTTCTTGACCTTGCCTCACTGTTTCCTTCCTTCTTTCCTTTCTTCCTACTCAGAGGTTCCCATTAAAGACAACAGTGATCAGTAAAAAAATGTAATGATTTTTATTATGTTATTAAAATATTTAATGTTATTTAAACATTTTTCACTTTTTTCCCCCCAGAGAAAATCATAGGACTTTTTCCTGCCATCAGACATGAATCAGGTTCAATGGGATGTGGTAATAGGTCTTTACATCCTCTTCAGCTGGTGTCATGGAGGTATAGTATTTCACATATCTGCCTGTATCTTTTATTCAACAAATAGAATATTGAGTGATTATTGTATTCAAGGCATAATGCGAGGACCCCTGAAGATGATAAAAGTTTAAAGATTGGGAAAAATGTGTACTTAAGTATTAGGTGGAATAAAACAAAAAACAACCCACCTCCCTCTAAATACAGGCTTACTTCCTCAAATATCCCTGATTGATAACCTTCTAACTCATTTATGAATATTTCTACCAAGGAGCTTATTACCTTAGACGTGTTCTAGCTTTAGATTATTATAACTGTTTTATGATAATGCACCAAACATTTTCACTTAATTCTACAACTTTTTCATTTAATTTAATTTTGAGAGAGAGAGAGAGAGAGGATGAACACATGCTTGGCAGGGGAAAGATATTTTTTTCTTGCCAGAGAGTATGTGTGCTTGAGAGAGATAGAGAGAAAGAGAGAGTACTCCCCTTCCCTAACAGGGCATAGTCATGCTGCAATCCTTTTTCTTCTATTGATATTTCTCTTTCCTGTCAGAAAGGCATCTTTTCAAGTATTTAGAGCCAATATTTAAACCATGGTCAGCCTTGTGAGATCCGGTTTCTAATGCACAGTGCTTAACCACTATGTATGGAACCAGACAAAATGAGATCTTTTTGATGGAGTGTTCTTACCATGTGTCATGATCCTTATACTCCAGCCTCCCAGTGAGCCAAGCTCACACGTACACACCATTGCTCCTGACTTACTAGGTTAAGCCAGGAACCAAACCCTGGCTTCCCATGTGGCTCCAGTCACCATAAAATGATACCCTCCTGGTTGTGCCCCTGTAGCTGGGCCCATAGATCATTTATGAATGGTCACTACATGCCATGCTCTCTGCTAGCCGGTGTGTGTGTGTGTGTGTGTGTGTGTGTTTGACCAGCAATCTGTCATTTCTAAAATATAACATTTATTGCTTAGATACAGAACAGCTTTCTTTTCATTCTGAGTTTAGAAGTTCTATGCAGCTGAATACAAAGAGGGACCAAAAGTACCGAAACCAAACTAGTAATTCTCTGTTCATGTGGCATAAACCAGTTTTGTACATAACCTGTAGCAGCAGTTTTAAGTTGCCTCTAGAAAAACATGAACTCTACACATTTATTATTGTTTCTTGTTTAATGCGTGGATGGAAATCACTAGGATCAACTTTCTTCTTGAAGAAAGAGAGGAGAGGAAAGAGACTGAGGGGCAGACATGTGATGAATCTTTATGGAACTAGCATCCAACTGTCCCATAGCTGCCACACCCAAGGCTGCATTGAAAAGAGCCTTCAAGGATTTTTTTGCTTCCTTTCCACAGCCAGGTGTTTCATGTAGTGATTGAATCTCAGCATCATGTCCATTAATCAGAGAATCAAAAAAAGAGACAGAAAAGTTGCACTTGAAAAAGCTTTCCAGGGGAGCTGGCAGGTGATGGAGTGGTGGTTAAGGGTGCTGGACTCCCACATGGCTAACCATGGATTGAGTCCCGGATCTGGAGGCTTGCTTTCTCACTTTCTCTCTTTCACTCACTCTCTCTCTCTCTCTCCTCTCCCTCTCTAGTCAAATTAAAGCAACTAACTAAATAAATGAAGTTAAATAAAATAATTTTAAAAAGTTTTAAATGAAACATTTTTTAGAAGATCTATACCTATCTATCTATATCTATCTATCATCTATCTATCTATATATCTTTCTTTTAATTTTAAAATAAAAGCCCTGAGAAAAGAAAGAGAATCAAATTAAATGTATAGAAATAAATTAGCTGGACATGCAAACTAAGTTATCATTCACTCAGAGATGAAACAAAGCACAAATTTCAGTTTAATATTGGGGGTGAGGGCAGAGCAACAAATAAAGCATGTATTTCCCAACCTCGCTAATAACATGTGACAAGACCTTACCGACTATGAGGGTACAGATCAAGGCTAAATAACATTTTAAGTCAATAGGGATTATTGCAGCTGCAGCCCAGGCTGTGGATGTGACTGGAGCCGATTTCTGTTACATCTCACTGTAGCCTTGAGATCCCCTCCATACTGCGAGTTTAATGTGGAGAGTTTCCGCTAGCCTGTTACTCCATGCAGCCACCTTGCACAGTACATTATGTGCAGTTATTGTTCCTATCAGGTAATTAAAGAACATCTGGCCCTATTGTGTGTTAGACATTTTAGGAGTCCTAAGAAACAGGCATAGGCAGTTTTGAGGAATCCAGAAAGGGAACCATTAGAAGTTGGGAACCAGCAGTTAGTGTAATGGCTATGTCGCTGGACTCCCATGTAGTCGACTGCGGTTTGCATCCCGGACCCGGTGGCTAAAACTCACGCCAGGCGCGTGTACGTGCATGCCCAAGATCCCCAGAGGAGAATGGAGAAGAAGGGATTGCAGCATGGCCATACCCCCTGGCGGGGTGATTTCTCGCTTTCTATCTCTCTGTCTCTCTCTGTCGGGTGAGAACACATGCCCTATAGCAAAAACCTCTCCAAAAATTTTTTTATTTTATTTATTACCACTATTATTTCTATTTGACAGAGAAAGAAAGAAAGAGAAAGTGAGAAAGCAAGCTACCAGGTCCAGGACTCAAACTGTGGTCAGACATATGGGAGTCCAGTGCCTTAACCACCATGTCACCTGTTGGCCTCCACATGGGAATTGTTAATATCTTAGTATCTCTTTTTTAATTCATCCATCTACATACTTTTTTTTTTTTTTTTTAGGAAGTTTTTGCCTTAGGGTGTGTGTACTTGCTGGGGAGAGAGAAAGAGACAGAGATGGTAAGAAATCATCCCCCAGCGGGTATAGCCATGCCACAATCCCTTCTCCAGTTTCCTCCTGGTATCTTGGGCACACACACACATGACCCCAGCGTGATTTTCAAGCCAACAGGTCCAGGACTCAAACCATGGTCATTCATATGGGAGTCCGGCAATGTAACCACTACACCAGGTGCTGGGCCCTGTACTTCTAACACTGAGCCTATATGAAAGACATTGTTTTACAAATTGCATTTTTACCTACTAATATATTCTGAACATTTTCCTATGTTATTTAATTAATTATGATTTTCATATGGTTATCAAGTCTTAGGCTTTTGTTATTGGTAAGAATATAGTTTTGTTTGTCATATTCATAACTTGCTGATAAATGCCTTTATTTAAAAAAGAACAAAATATGGGTTAAGTAGCTAGAGACAGAGTTTGGATCTTGCGGTATGTGGTGTAATTTCTAATCTTACTTTTGAAAAATGGAATGGTGAAGCTTCAGATGCTTTAGTTCTCCACCTTGAGGTAGAAAAGCTAATTACATTTGCTTAAAGACATTTAACAGCTGCCCCTAGTTCTGTGTCACGCTGCTGAGCGTCAACAGAAGCATGATCCAAAACAAATTTTCACCTACTATTCGAACTGAATCCTAGCCTTTTTCCTGGCTTTAAGTTTTAAGTAAATTTCTCTTAACATTTTTTTATTTTGATCTATTAAAACTAAAACTTTTTGAAATTGAAAAATACCTACTGATGCCTATTTAATGACTGCAGTGAACCATACAGCCCCAACTAGGTGCTACTTTATAGTATATTCACTTTACTCACTGAGGCTTAAGCCTAAAGTCAGACATGCATTCTTAAATTGATATTGAAAGTCTTTAAATTAATTAAGATCTTTAGTGAATCAATAAAATGTGAAAAAAAAAGGCATGGAAAACAACTGTATATACCAGAGATAGTGTGGGAGAAGGGAGGGAGTTGGCACAGAGTGAGAGGTAGGGAATCAAGGGGGGCGGGCAAAATATATGAGAAACAAAGAATAGAAAATTATTTGTTCATGATAACATGGTAATATCCTTGATTGAGCTAATATACAATGTATGCTGGATGGAAAGTCTCATTTTGTATACTGTATTGATGTATACTGAATGTAAATATATAAATAAATAAATTTAAAAAAAAGAAAAAGAGCTGACTGTACGATTATTGAATGTATAAAATAAATTAAAATAATAAATCATTTTTATTAGAAAAACATACTGCAATACATTGACCAATGAAAAGATACACTTAGTTCTAAGACTTTTAAAAATAGAAATAATTTAATTAGCAGAAAAGAATACATTTCAAATGTGACAGTATCTTCTTCCGAATCTCTTGTTTCAGTGTTTAGCATAGAACTGATTATTTTCTCGGGAATCAGCAGTTAGCGTAATGGCTATGTCGCTGGACTCCCACGTAGTCGACCGCGGTTCGCGTCTCAGACCCGGTGGCTTAAAACTCACGCTGGGCGCGTGTGCATGTGTGCCCAAGATCCCGAGAGGAGAATGGAGGAGAAGGGATTGCGGCGTGACCATCCCCCCTGGGGGGTGATTTCTCGCTTTCTGTCTCTATGTCTCTCTCTCTCTCTGTCTGGTGAGCGCACGTGCCCTACAGCGAAAACCTCTCCAAAAAAAAAAAAAAGAGAGAGAAAAAGAAATTAAAAAAAAAAGAATTGATTATTTTCTCAATTTATTTCCAGGAATTACAAATATAAAGTGCTCTGGCCACATCTGGATAGAACCAGCCACAGTTTTTAAGATGGGTATGAATATCTCTGTGTATTGCCAAGCAGCAATTAGGAACTGCCAACCAAGGAAACTTAATTTTTATAAAAATGGCGACAAAGAAGTGTTTCATATCTCAAGGATTAATAGAACAACAGCTCGGCTTTTGTACAGAAACTTTTCAGAACCACGTGCTTCAGTGTACTGCACTGCAGAATGTCCAGGACTTTTTCAAGAGACACTGATATGTGGAAAAGACATTTCTTCTGGATGTAAGTGTTGGGGCACAATTGAAATGAAAACAAAGACTAGTCTAACAATGAACTGGTACTTAATAGTTTTTTCTAAAAGTAGTGTTAATTGATAATAGCTTACTTTGTGTTTAAATTTGCCAGAGGGCATATGCACTACCAGAGAGGGGCAGACAGAGAGGGATGGGGAGAAAGTACCATCCAGTGGGGTTTGGTCACGTGGCAATCCCTTCTCCATCTCTCCATCCTGTCGAGATGGATGTGCCCAGGATGTTTTTCAAGTCACAGGCACTGGGATTTGAACAACGAAGTTGACCATATGGGATCTGGCTTTCTTCTTCTTCTTTTTTTTTGAAAGATTTTTTGCTATAGGGCGCATATGCTGGCAGGAGAGACAGAGAGACAGAATATGAGAAAACATCCCCCAGGAGGGATGGCCATGCCGCGATCCCTTCTCCTCCATTCTCCTCTCAGGATGCTGGGCACGCATGCACAAATGCCCAGAGGGCTTTTCAAGTCATGGGCACTGGAATTTGAACAATGAAGGTGACCACATGGGATCTGCCTGTCTTTCTTTTTTATTTTTTTTTAGAGAGATTTTTGCTATAGGGTACATGCACTGGCGTTAGAGACAGAGAAACAGAAAGCAAGAAATCAACCCCCAGGGAGGATGGCCAAGTCACAATTCCTTTTCTTGGGATTTTGGGAACACACGCACATATTCCTGGCATGAGTTTTAAGCTGCTAGGTCCAGGACTTGAACTACAGTCGATTGTGGGAGTCCAGCAACATAAGCATTTTATACCATCTGCTGGTCCCTGGATCTGGCTTTCTTAACCACTAAGTCATGGAACTAACCCTGTAGTTCACTTCTTAGATTGCCTAAACGCAGAAGCTACAGTACAACCTTAACATGTATCTGGGACCAGATTGAGGAACTACTTGAGTTAAGGAGTCTAAGGGGACCTGTGAAGTATGGAACAGACAGAGGGGGTCTACTGGGGCCAGCCACTTGGGCCCAGTGTTTATCAGTCTTTTGAGTCTTTAAAGAAAGACAGAAATATGAATTTTTAATATGATCTCTTCAATTTGTAAATGTTGCCAATGTATTCAAGAAATGATTTTTTCCCTTTAGCCTGGCCAAATGCAGCATATATTAAGGTCACATCCTTAGATTTAAAATATTTGCACTCTATATCTGTTTTTTGTTTTTTTGTTTTTGTTTTGTTTTGTTTTGTTTTTGTTCATATTTTTTGTTTGCTTTTAAAACTAATGTTATCAGTCTTGAAGTAGTTCACATTGAGAAATTTGGGGGCCAATATTTAGAAAGCATTGTAAAACTAGCTTTGTGTTTCTAATAATCTTCTTACTAACTGTGTGGTCTTGGACCAGTTGCTCAATCATTCTGAGTTTCAATTTCTTTTCTGTAAAATGAAGCTAATTATATTAGTTGCATTAAGCACTGACTTTTAATCATTTATTTGAAAGCATATGATAAATTTTAAACTACAACGCCAATGTCAAAATACTTAAAATACCTCATTTAGATTCTGATAGAATCCCTGCTCGTAATCCCACTGCCCAAATTGTGAATCACTGTTTGTTACTACAATTATTATTTTTTTCTCATTAAACTTTGTTTTAATGGGTCTCAAAATTCTGTGACAGATTTTTGGTCAAGTTGTTTCCATTAAAAAATACTGGTTTTAAAAACTAATAACTTATGGGGAACCAGCAGTTAGCGAAATGGCTATGTCGCTGGATTCCCACGTAGTCGACCGCGGTTCGCGTCCCAGACCCGGTGGCTTAAAACTCACGCCGGGCACGTGTGCATGTGTGCCCAAGATCCCGAGAGGAGAATGGAGGAGAAGGGATTGCGGCGTGACCATCCCCTC